GAGAGGATCTGGGTGTTGCCATGCCAGGCAGCCCAGTGGGCGCAGGTTTGACCCTCCTTGTCAGCCCTTCTCAGGTCTTCCACAATCGAGCTCCCCGAGCTCGAGAGCAACAGATCGAAAACTTCCTTATGGTTCTTACGACACGCGAAGTAGCAGCAAGTCTTCCCCTCCTTGTCCGCTGCCCTCGCCGCTTCCTCTCCTCCTGCCTCCAGTACCTCCCCTAGTGCCTCCGCCTCCCCCCGCCACGCCGCCCAGTGAGCGCAAGTACACCCCCAGTTGTCCGCCGCTACCGCCAGCTCTCTCCCTCCCGCAGCAAGCGCCAGCCGCAGCATCCCCGTCGCCCCCCTCTCTGCTGCAAGATGGGCGCAGGTCTTTCCTTCCTCGTCTGCCGTCATCACCGCCTCCCGCCCCCCTGTCTCGATCAGCAGCTTCATCGACTCCTCGTCCTCCATCCACACGCTCCAGTAGGCGCAAGTCTTGCCCTCCTTGTCTGTCGCCGTCGCTACCTCCTTCCCTCCTACCTCGATCAGCCTCCTCAGCGTCTCTACGCTCCCCTTCTGCGTCGCCCAGTGCGCGCAGGTCTTCCCCTTGTGGTCGGCCGCTGTCGCCAGCGCCTTCCCGCCTGCAGCCAGCAGCAGGTCGAAGGTGCCGAACTCTCCCCGGTCGCTGGCCCAGTGAGCGCAGGTCTTGCCGTCGCAGTCAGGGGCGAGGAGGACCTGAGGGCCGGCGAGGTCGACGATCTTCGAGAGGATCGGGACGTCACCGCGATAGGCAGCCCAGTGGGCGCAGGTCCGGCCGTCAGCGTCCGCCGCCTCCACAACCTCCCTGCCTCCCACCTCGATGAGCATGTCCAGCGCCTTCACTTCTCCCCATTCAGCTGCGATCAGAGCGCATGTCAAGCCCTTCCTGTCCGCTGCTATCGCCAGCTCCCTCCCGCCACTCTCCAGCAGCAGCTCGAGGGTGTCAAATTTCTCGCACACTACAGCATGGTGAGCTGGGGTTCTGCTGAACTGATCCACATCATGAACGATCGCATCCCCTCCAACGTCCAGCAGCATTCGAAGAGCCTCCAGGTCTCCTCTGCCCGCGGCGATATGCGCGCATGTCAAACCCTCACAGTCCGCTGCTCGAGCGGCTCCCATGCCCCCGTGGCTCAGGAGGGTTTTCAGCACGTCGAGTCTTCCAGTCCTCGCGGCCCAGTGAGCGCACGTCCTCCCCTCCCGGTCAGCCGATGAGGCAAGACAGGCTCCTCCTACCCTCAGCACGAGCTGTAACAGTTCCTCGTCCTGCAGATCGGCGGCTGCATAGAAGACGTCAGCGAGGATGCTGCTCTGAGAGGCCTCAGCGGCGAGATCCAACGCTGTCTTCCCGTCCTCTCGCTGCGCCACCACCGCGTCCCGCAAGCTCCTCCCCTCGACGAGGAGGTGAAAGACTTCGACGTGGCCCCTGCTGCATGCGAGGTGGACGGCAGTCGCTCCTGCTGCATCCTTGAGGTCAACGTTGGCCTTGTGCAGCAGCAGGAGCTTCACGCACTTGTCGTATCCCATCAAGGAAGCAGACTGCAAGGCTGTCTTCCCGTCCTTGTCAACCGCATCCACCTCCTTCCCAGCTGCCAGCAGCCTCTCCATCCCCTGGATGTCTCCACTTGCCGCCGCCGACGCCAACGGCGATTCTCTCGTCTCCATGACGTCACCAATGGCCTCGAGCATGCGCGAGCGCTCGAAGATCTGGTCGGACAACCTCGCCTTCTCCTCTCCTGCCGTCTCGCTGCTGCCTGCCCGCGAGTTAAGGAGAGCGATAATGTGTCTCCCTACGACGACGAGGGAGTCCTGGTTGTACCAGTCCCTCTCCCTCACGCAGTGATCGAACTTGTCAGCGCACATGGCAGCGAGGTAGACAGCAAGCTGCATGGCGCTTGCGTAGTTCTTCTCGTTGTTGAACCAAACATCATCTCTGCTCAGGTAGATCTCCACGACTCTCTCGCAGTCTGCCTGAGTCTGCAGCCGAAGGGAGTCCACCTGCCCGACTTGGAGCGAGGAGTCTTGGCTGAGAACCTCCTGCATCTTCACCTGCAACATCCTCCTCACGTCCTCCTCAACATTCCTCATCACAGCGACGTAGAGGTTCTTCCGTCGGGAGATCATGTCTTCGATGGTTGAGCACGACGAGTTCGTGCTGATCTTGGTCGGCACTACCCGAACGAGGAGCTGGACTACCTTCCCTTCCTCCAACGCATACTTGACCAGCTCCACCCGCGGCTTCCCCACGACCTCAAGGTACGAGAGGGGAGGATACAAGATCTCGTCCTCTCCTGGGTACTGTGAGAGAAACCGCAGGGAAGCCCCACGATCGACTGCTCCGCAGGAGATTTCGAAGAGCGTCGGAGCTTGTCCCTTCA